CTGCTTGGCCTGCTGTGTTCATCCAGCTCTACACCTTGTTATCTCAGATTCTCCAGCATCTGCAGTTCCTGCTATCATTATAAATAACTGTTTGAACAAGCAGTATTTGAAGTTGGAGTTGGAGGTGATTTGGAGGGAGTGTACAAACTTAGCTTTTGCTGACACCACCGAGTTGATTGGTCAATGGACTAGCAACCAGATCATTGATGACAGAGACTTTTTGACTGCAACGGGTGTGTCATTGGCTCTCAGGTAAGTAAACAGCTCAGAGCTGAGAGAAAGAGAGAGAGAGAAACATACAGTTCCATGCAGATCAAGAGTGGTTGTTTTGTTCTCAGCAATCAAACTCACTGTAAACCTAAAGAAAATCTGTTTATCTTTCCTGTAACAGCTGTTGTAAGCTGTGAATTCTAACTGATAAGTCAGAAACATCTTAATGAGTGAACCAGCTACCTCGTGTTTTATACTAACCAGTGGAAGCATCTGGAGAAAGATGTCTGAATCAATGTGCTGACCAGCAGAAGAATCATAAGGATCATCTTAGTAGTAGAATCTGGGAACAAAGACAACTCACCTGTCTTTCCAGTTTTTCCTGTCTGCCTCACATGCTGTATCCTATCTGTTTTGTCTGTGCGTGTTTATGTGAGAGTTTATAAGGGGATCAGTATTTTAATTGATAGGGTTAATTGACAGTGGTTTTTAGCTGCTTTCCTATAGTTAGAGTTGTAATAAACATCGGTTCTTGTTCAGTATAGAAACCTGGTCTGTGCTTCATCAACCTGTGTCTGAAAGTCAGGAAATTGGAGAACATTACGTACTTTATAAAATCTTTAACTTTTGTGACGACTTTGGGAATAGCAGCTCAATTTCCAGTGCATGACCCAAAAAGTGGTAATAATAAAGTAAATATACAATATAGAATGTCTATTATCAGTAACTTAAGTTTAAATTCTACTTTAGGAACAGCCTATTTGAAGATATATTTTCCTTATCCTATGGATACTACACCCCAGTTGGATGCCTAACTGCAGTTATGATAGGTTTGCTAGTCAGTATGGTTACTGGTAAGTAAAATAAAATTGTAAGAAACAAGAATCCTTAATAAATATTATCTCTTACAATAACAAACTGTTATCAACTAGCTGGCACTGCGTGATTTCCCCTCTTTGAAGTGTGCATATGAGTCAAGTTAGTATGCATCATTTCCCAGTTTTACGATGTTTCCTTCTGAAAAAGACCACGAAATGATCTTCAGCATGAAGTAAACATAGAAACCAGTTTTGAGGTTTGTGATGGACAGTGAGAGAGGTAATCATGTGATCTTGGGTGCCTATCCCACATTCGTTGGTTAGAAAGGTTCAAACAAAGACAATATCAGTAAACCAGCGAACCGTAGAAATAATGCGTATTAATAAACGTTTGGAGTCAGCTGGCAGTCCTCTTCAGCTAGCCATCTTCTTCAGACAGAAGATGGGCCAGGAAAGATGGAGTAAGACCAAGGGAAGAGTTCGGCCAGAAAGCAGGATGTGCCATCACATACTACTGAGCCAACCAGTGTTTCATCCTCTGCTATCAGTGAACTAACCTCAACCATCACAGGTTGTATACTTATATAAAGTCATAGAGGTGCGTACAGCACAGATAATGGCCCATTGGGTCTGCTACAGTCAAAAATATGTACCTAACTATTCTAATCCCATTTTCCAACTCTTGGTCCACAGCCTTGTATGCCTTTCCAGCTCAAGTTTCTTCTCTATTTAACTGATCTATCATCTCTAAACTGTTGCTTCTTAATAATCTAAAATCAGCTAATTTAAAATTACTTGTGAATCATTGACTGCCTATCTTGGAAGTTATCTGTGACTCACAAACTCAAAGTCTTACATTCGATATTTTAGAAGTTGGGGTGTTAGTCTTGTTGGTTGGTGTTAATCTCAGTTAATGGATTTGAAGTAACACCTAATTATTCATCTCATTCTTCTATTGATATGATCCCAGGTGATGACATGACTGGATAATCAGATCCCAGACTGACATCTGGCCTGATAGATCATAGAGACAAAAAGTGCTGCAGATGCTGGAATCCAAGGTAGACAAACAGGAGGCTGGAAGAACACAGCAGGCCAGGCAGCATCTGGAGGAAAGGAGCAGTCAACGTTTCGGGTATTACCCTTCTTCTGGACTGGATGTGGGGGTAGGGGGAATTGAAGGTAAAGAGAGGGGGGAAGGGAGATGGCGGAATAGTGGTGATAGGTGGACACTGGTAGTAGGTACAACCTAGTTGGTCGATGGGAAGGATGAATCTGTTTGGTGGCTGGAAGGGAGGAGGTGGGGCTGGGAAGGGAGCTGGGGGATGGGTGGGACAGTTATTGTTCTTCAAATTTACGTTCTGAGTCACTGCGACACTGAAGGAGGACGAGGGCTGACATGTCGGAGGGGGAGTTGAGGGGTGGGGGGGGATCTTGAAATGGGTGGTGACAGCAACCTAGTCTATTGCATCTGGTGCTCCCAATGTGGTCTTCTCTACATCTGCGAGGCCAAATATAGACTAGCTGACCATTTTGCTAAGCATCTTCGCCTGGGCCATAATGGACTCAACATTGAGTTCTCCAATTTCAAATAATTTTCCCATATGACCCCACCGGCACCCTTTCCATCCTCACCTCCTCCCTTCCATTCCACCTTCTGACACCCCCTTCCAGCCACCAACCAGATTCATCCCTCCAATCGACCAACCAGGTCGGACCTACTACCAGTGTCCACCTATCACCACTATTCTGCCACCTCCCTTCCCCACCTTCTTTATCTGCAACTCCCTCTACCCCAACATCCTGTACCGAAGAAGGGTAATACTCAAAACATTGACTGCTCCTTTCCTCCAGATACTGCCTGACTTGCTGTGTTCTTCCAGTCTCCTGTTTGTCTACCTTGATAGATCATAGTTTGTTTTGTCTAGGTTTCAAATAAGACAGTTTATTTCAGAAAATGAAATGAAGAAAGAATAGAATAAATCCAAACTATTTACACATAACACAAGTTTAGCGAACTTGGAACACATGTTTATATATATCCCATTAATCCCAAAACACTCATTTACATATCCCAAAAACACCCTTAGGCAGTAGCCAAAAGCAACCGTTGTGCAGTGCTCACAGCAGAGAGTAGGTTTAAGTTAACTTGACTTCAACACACAGTCTGGAAAATCTGATAATCTTTTTCTGAAGCTTTCCTACATCTGAGTTTAAATGTTCTCAGCTTCAAATAACCTCTTTGGTGTTTTATTCAAATGTTACTGGTTCAGAACTATCATAATATTCCTTGCTCTATGGTAATCTATTTTGCTAACCTCTCCCTTTCTCAGAAACACTGCTTGATGTATCCAATTTCATCCAAGGACCTCTGCAGAACTGTCCAATATTGAAAAAAACCCTTTATTTTTGAGCTATAGTTGTTTTCCTAAACTTAAAATCCAGAAATTTCTAACACAAACACTGATGCACCATGTTTACTTTGTTAGAGACAAAAAAGACTGCAGATGCTGGAATCCAGGGTAGACAACCAGGAGGCTGGAAGAACACAGCAGGCCAGGCAGCATCTGGAGGAAAGGAAGAGTCAACGTTTCAGGTATTATCCTTCATCAGGACTGTGTGAGAAAGGGTAATACCCGAAACGTTGACTGCTCCTTTCCTTTAGATGCTGCCTGACCTGCTGTGTTCTTCCAGCCTCCTGTTTGTCTACCATGTTTACTTTGCTCAGTTGCAAACTCTCCCCGTGTATACAAAAATTCATCAGTTCTGAAAGCTGTCCTCTGTGTCAAGTTGTTTTAAAAGAAATCACCATTGCTACAGAAATACTAATCATTAAACACTTCAGCCGCACAGAAAAACCAAATGTCACTAATTTTAAATTCACTACCCAAACTTAAATATATATGATATTTACACGCATACACAGCCTACATCACACCTCTCCTCAAAGAGTGAAAACATATCTTTAAGAGGAATTTTCATTACTCATCAAAATTTAACTTAGCACTAATGCTGTGTCTCACTAATGACAGTAACTTGCTGTCAGTAGCCGCTCCATAAAATTCCCGCATCCCAATGTCCCCAGCCAACCCCTTTATATTTGCCTGCTCCAGCCTAACCTGCCCAGCCACATTTTGGTGAATAAGTTGACCATGCGTCTGTTGTCCTCATTCATTCCTCCCACCTCCTTCCCCTCCACCCCCCACCAAGTGAAGCCATGCACTGCTGATTATTGACAAACCCTCTCCCTCAGTACCTAGCAACCATACTTAAGTTCACAGTTACCATATCACCCAGTGTCCTGCTATCAATAAAGAATTTGCTTTAACAATCTCTTTTGCAGGCACATGCATAATTTTCTAAGAGGAATCGTGGTGTGGTGAGAGATTGTGAAGCAGTTTATCCTGCAATCACGAAGTGCAGTCTTTCATGTTGTTTGGTTTGATTCAAATGAGATAGATTAGAATTGCTCTTCTCCCAGTTTAAAGTGTAACCTGTTTGACTTGCACATTTTGTAGGTTATCACCAACTTTTTAGTTCAAAGCTTTACTTTGGGTATCAACACCTCAAGGCTCCCAAATTATTGTTTAAGCGAAACATATTTCTTCAGCACTCAAAAAGCAACTTATACACAACAGTATACTTATACAACAACTTATACTCAGAAACCAAAACAGATCAGACATTTCTAGGGTCACTGGACCCAAAATGTTAACTCTGATTTCTCTCTATAGATGCTGCCAGATCTGTTGAGTTTTTCCAGCAATTTTTGTTTTTGTTTCTGGTTTACAGCATCCACTTGCGGTGTTTTGTGAAATCCTATACCCACGCATCCACATGTGCAAGGTCAGCTGGGCTTATCTCAGAGTTCAAACAGAGGAATTGATCAGTTCTCTCCTTCTGGTCTCCAAGCAGTTGATCAGACAATTCCATCCTGAACTGACTAGTTAACATGTCAGGGTACGGTTCCTTATACCCAGCTCAGTGCTTGCTATCCCACGTGATTGGCACTGACCCTGTCTTCTCAAGGGTCAGTGATTGGTCAGTTGTGCCTTGGCAACCTCATCAGGATTTCTGATCATCCTGCTTTCTTGTTGTCTCATCCTCATACAACTAACAAGACAATAATCTTATATCTGCCTTCTTTCGTTTTCCATGCAACCAGCCCATTTGGCGCATTCATTAGACATTTGTTTGTTTTAAGCTTAGATTAATACATATAACTATGATGTTGTAGCACTTACAGAGACTTGGTTGAGAGAGCAACAAGATTGGCAGCTTAATATTCCAGGATTTAGATGTTTCAGGCAAAATAAAGAGGGATGTAAAGGATGAGGGGGAGTTGTGTTATTGATAAGGGAGAATCCCTTCAGGGCTAATCCAGCGAGGCCAAATGGGGATTAGCACAGGATTAGAACGAAGGCAGTCGTTTTGATGGGATTAGAATAGAATACCTACAGTGTGGAAACAGGCCATTCAGCCCAAAAGTTACCGTGCATTTCCTATGGCTAATCCACCTAACCTACACATCCCTGAACACTACGGGCAATTTAGCATAGCCAATCCAGCTAGCCTACACATCTTTGGACTGTGGGAGGAAACCGGAGCACCTGGAGGAAACCCACACAGACACGGGGAGAATGTGCAAACTCCACACAGACAGTCACCCGAGGCTGGAATTGAACCCGGGTCCCTGGCGCTGTGAGGCAGCAGTGCTAACCACTGAGCCACCATGCTGGTGGTCTACAGGTCTCCCTACAGCCAGTGGGAGGCAGGGGAACATATATGTAGACAGATTATGGAAAAATATAAAAATAACAGGGTTGCTGTGGTGGGTGATTTTAATTCCCCATTCATTGACTGGGACTCCCTTAGTGCCAGGGGCTTGGATGGTGGAGGGTAGTTTGTTAAGTGCATCCAGGAGGGTTTCTTGAAGCAATGTCTAAACAGTCCAATTAGGGAAGGGGCCATACTGCACCTCGCATTGGGGAACAAGCCTGGCCAGGTGATCAAAATTTCAGTAGGGGAGGATTTTAGGAACAATGACGATAATTCTGTGAGTTTTGAGTTACTTTTGGATAAGGGTAAGTGTAGTCCTTGGGTGATAGTACTAAACCAGGGGAAGTCTAACTATGACAATTTCAGGCAGGAACTGAAGAATGTAGATTGGCAACAGCTGTTTGAGGCTAAATCCACATCTGGTATGTGGGAATCTTCTAAGGTCCACTTGATTAGAGTTCAAGATCAACATGTTCCTGTGAAAATGAAGGATAAGGATGGCAAGATTTGGAAACCTTAGATGACAAGACAAGTTATAAGCTTAGTCAAGAAATAAAAAAGCGGAATGCATAAAGTTTAGGAAACTGAAGTTAGCCAGAGCCCTTGAAGAATACAAGGATAGCTGGAAAGAACTTAAACAAGGAATTTGGAGGGCTAAAAAGGACGTGCAATCTGTTTGGCAAACAGGATTAAGTTAGATCCCAAGGTGTTTATAAGGAGCAAGAGGGTAGATAGGACAAGGATAGGTCCAGTAAAGAACAGAAGAGGCAAATTTTGCATGGAGCCAAAGGAAGTGGATGAGGTCTATTGGTATTCCCCAAAGAGGACATTGTGATGGTAAGTCATAGGAGGGGCATGTTGATATTCTAGGGCATTTCAAAATAAAAAGGAGCAGGTATTGGGTGTTTTGAAAAACATTAAGGTAGACGAATTCCCAGGATCCAGAATAATGAGGGAGGAAATTGTTGGGGCCTTGTATAAAGTCTTTGTACCCTCTTCAGTCACAGGATAGGCCCTAGGAGACTGAAAAATAACCAGTTTTATTCCTTTGTTTATGAAGAGCAACAGGGATAATCTGGGAAATTACAGGCTGGTGAGTCTTACTGCAATGGTAGGGAGATTACTGGAGAAGATTCTTAAGGACAGGATTTATCCACATTTGGAAAAATATGTATTTATTCTCAATAAGCACAACTTTGTGCAGAGAAGGTCATGGTTCACAAAAGCTGACTGATTATGGTTTTGAAGTCAGAAGTCACAGGTTATAGTCCAACAGATTTATTTGAAATCTCAAGCTTTCAGAGCACAACCCCTTCGTCAGGTGAAGTGAGAGAGTACAGCACACCGACAAAGAATTTATAGGCAGAGAGGTCAAGGGCAGAGAGATCAAAAGATGATACAACTGGTGTGAGTGCAGTGTCAGATAACAAGTCTCTACAGGTGACCAAGAGTGTTAGACAGTGTGAGTAAAGTGTCAACAGCTGAATAACAAGCGAAAGCATAACCTTTAATCCGATTAATTGAGGCAGAAAGATAATCACAAAAAATTAAAAATAAGGTGGTGCTGGAGACAAACTAAATGACTGGAATAACATGATAAATATAAGAGTTGCATGGCGAGGGTCTAACCAAAGTAATAATTAATCCAAAACTGTACAAACTAATTAAGGTAGAGAGATCATAACAATTTATCAAGGGTGATGGTGTGAAAACAGGGCAGTAAGGAAGGTTTTATAGATACAGAACAGTGTAGTGGGATCACATGTAGCACGCCATGAACCCAAGATCACGGTTGAGGCCGTCTTTATGGGTACGGAATTTGGCTATCAGTTTCTGCTCGGTGTTTCTGCATTGTTGTGTATCTGGAAGTCCACCTTGGAGGCCACTTACCTGAAGATCAAAGGCTGAATTTCCTTAACCACTGAAGTGTTCCCTGACTGGGAGGGAACACTGCTGTCTGGCGCAGTGTCCATTCATCTGTTGTCGTAGCATTTGCATGGTCTCACCAATATACCATGTCTCGGGTATCCTTGCCTGCAGTGTATGAGATAGACCCTCAGCATGCAACTCTTATACTTATCATGTTATACTAATCATTTAGTTTGTCTCCATTACCACATTAGTTTTAATTTTTTGTAATTATCTCTCTACCTCATTTATTTGGATTATAGGTCATCCCTTCACTTGTTATTCACACTGTCTAACACTGTTGGTCACCTGCAGAGACTTATTATCTGACACTCCACTCACACCAGTTGTATGATCTTTCGATCTCTCGGCCTTTTATCTCTCTGCCTATAAACTTTGTGACTGTGTGCTCTTCTCTCTCACTGCACCTGATGAAGGAGCAGCGCTCAGAAAGCTTGTGATTTCAAGTAAACCTGTTGGTCGTGTGACTTCTGACTTTGTCCACCCCAGTCCAACACTGGCACTTCCACATCACTGCTTTCTTTGAGAATGTGACAAATGTGATTGATGAGGGCAGGGTGATGCATGTTGTCTACATGGACTTCAGTAAGGCCTTTGACAAGGTCCCTCATAGCAGGCTGATACAGAAGGTGAAGTGAGAGAGCTAGTAAGTTGGATACAGAGCTTGCTTGGTGATTGAAGACAGAGAGTAATGGCGGAAGGAGAGATCTGTGACCAGTGGTTTCGTGCAGGTGTCAGTGCTGGGACCCCAGCTGTTTGTAATATAAACATAAATGACTTGGAGGAGAATGTAAGGTGGACTGATTAGTAAATTTATGGATGAGACAAAGATTGGGGGCACTGCAGATAGTTATAGCAGGAGATAAATAGGCTGGAGACTTGGGCAGAGAAATGCAAGTTGATGCAGGAGAGAAGTATACAGTAAATGGCTGCATCCTTAGGAGCATTAATATACAAAAGTTTGAAAACACGTACCAACAGATTTAAGAACAGCTTCTTCCCTGCTATTATCAGACTTATGAGTGAACCTCTCATATATTAGAGTTGATCTTTCTCTGCACCTTCTCTGTAGCTGTAACACTATATTCTGCATTCTGTTCTATTACCCTGATGTACTTATATAAGGTATGATCGCACACAAAACAATACTTTTCACTATATCTCAATACATGTGACAATAATAAATCAAATCAAATCACAGTTCGCTGGAAGTTGCAACAGAAGTGGATAAGTAGTCAAAAAGGCCTGCCTGCCTTCATCTGTTAAGGCATGGTGTATGAAAATTGACAAGTCATTTTGCAGCTGTATAGAACTTTAGTTTGACTGTATTTGGAATATTGCATGCTGTTCTGGTCGCCACTACCAGAAGGATGTGGAATTTTTTGGAGAGGAGAAAGAAAAGGCTTGCCAAGATGTGCCTGGTTTAGATGGCATTAGCTATGAGGAGAAATTGGACAAACTTGATGTGTTTTCCCTTGAACTTTGCAGGCTGAAGGGCAACCTGATAAGAGATTTACAAAATTATGAGAGGCATGGATATAATGGAGAGTCAGAGTCTTTATCCCAGGATAGAAATGTCAACTACGAGGGGAAATACGTTAATGTAGAAGGGGAAAAGTTTAGAAGAGATGTGAAAGGCATGCTTTTTTACACAGAGGAATGCAAGAATGCGCTGCCAGAGGAGGTGGTAGAAGCAGAAACAATAGCAACGTTTAAGAGGCATCATGACAGATACATGTCTAGGCAGGGAATAGAGGGATACAGACTGTGTAGAGGCAAGGAGCTTTTAGTTTCGAAAGTCTTCATGTGCTGGCACAGGCTTGGTGGGCTAAAGGGCTGGTTCCCGCTGTACTGTTATTTGTTCATTGCTCTATTTCTCATATATGTACGTATCTTTCTCTTTAAGTATCATACTGCTAATGGGACAATGGATTTTAAATAAAAGTAATCTAAAATGTTAAAAATATATGAACAAGTTCATCGAACGTGTAGATTGGAGGTTTGTATTTCCTTCTGTGCAAAGCAAAAAATTTTAATGCTACAATGCAAATTTTCAACTTTCTTTGTTGAATGATTATACCTTGCTGGATCTATAAAATCTGATTCGAGTTGACAAACATTCTGGGAGTAACATTTTATTCAAAACTTAGAAGCTTCAATTTTGCCTTTGTTTTAGTTAGTTGCATGTCATACCATCATTGATAACCCTATCCCCTTTGATACAGGAGGAGCTAAAGATGTTGATGAGACTCTCATTGCTCCTATAGTCCATACCATTCACAAGTTCATATACAAAAAGAAGCAAGCTGCACCAGTGCTTGAATCTGTAAGATTACTCTATTTTCTCTTAAACATTAGGATGACTTGCTTATATTCTAGTTTGATTGGTTTTGAGAAGACTGATAAGTCTATTGAGTACAACGTTTTAAAATGTAACTTTCTAACTTCTAAATGTATTACCTTATTCTTAAACCCTGCATTAAATTTCATCTGACATTTATTTGTCCCATCTATCATTATATTGCTTAAGACACTTGCAAAATTAACCAGGCTATTTTTGTCATCTATAAGTGTTCCTGGCATCTCTCTGGAGTCAAATCTAGGTCATATATACATGTTATATACACTTGTATATGAGGAACAATAGCCTCTGTGCTGACCTCTATGAAATAGCATAATTCGTACCCCTCCAGATTTTGAAATATTGATTAACTACAACTCTAAAGATTTCTGTTCTTTAAATCCATGCTGCAACACTCCTTCTTATGAACAAGCATCATATGCAATTCTTTATCAAAAACAGTTTTGAAATCCATTGTATTTAACCTTGAAATTAATCATCAGCTCCAGTGAAACTTTACTGTTCTTTACAATTCTCACCAGCCCTCCCCTTAATTTCTCCTTTGTTCATTCCTTCTGATACTAGAAACACCTAGTTCTGTTCCAGGTTAAGTCACATTTTGGTTGGTTCTACTATTTCATGAATCTATTGTAACCTGCTCCCATAATTCTACAGTGTTATTCAGAACATATTGTGTATTTGCATACCTAAAATTCAAATTCGCCTTGCCTTAATTATTCCCTTCTTCTTCTGACTTATGCTGTTACATTATTTCTTTTAATCGTGCCTATATCCTTTGCCCCTTCTGTTTTCCTTTTCTTCACTTTTAGTATCTTTCTATGCTCAATTTCAAAAGATTGTTTGCTTATATCAAGATTTGTTATTCTGCATTCCAAATTTTCTTCTGTATATATGTTTATATTTCTGATTCCCCCAATCAGAATTATTTTACGGATGGGGGAAAAGGCTGAGTAATTGTCATGATGTCTCATCTTTCCACAGGGTGTACAGCTATTGGAAACCACTCCTAAAAAATTCTTCAATACCGATCATCATCCTTCTAACTTGCAGGTGAGGACACGAATCTCTGTAATTATGCCTAAAACTGTAATCAGAAACCAAGTGGGTTGTCAAAATGATTTTTGTGAAGGTTTCAGTTTAATTTATAGTTTAATTTTGAGAAGTCAAGAATGCTGGAGCAACTCTGTGCATAAACATTGCTCCTTTATCCTTGATGGTTTTTCAGAGTGAAAAGTATTCACATTTTTCATCAGATTTTCTGGCAAATGCCGGGGAGTCTCCTGGAGTGGTTCATGGATTGTGGGAAGCAGACCTTAAACATCTGTCACGCTGTAGCATGAAGGTTGGGCCTGTATTCATTGGCGAGAAGAATGTGATTTTATTGAAATATATCAGATTTTGAAGGGATGATGGCAGGAGATTCCCCTTGAAGGGAAGTGTGGAAGGAAGGGACACAGTTTATAAGCCCTAATAAGGGATAAGGAGAACTATTTTGTCTCAGATGGTTTCTGCCCCAGAAGCAACTGAGGCTGGTTCATTGAGTGCATGAAAGACTGCATTAGATAGATTTTTGATCAGCCAAGGAGCCCACCATTGAGGAATAGACAAGAAAATGCCCACAATCTTATTGGATGGTGGAGCAGGCTCAAGGAGTTGAATGGCGTATCCCTGCTTCAAACTCTTGTGTTCTGTGTAGGTGTGGATTACAAAACACTGTTCAGAATATAGAACCCATTTCACTTCTCACCATAAAAGTGAAAACTGCAGAAAATCTATGGCAAATGATTCAACAGATGTTGAAAACCCAAATACTCAGACTGCGATGGTGAAGGAAGTTTTACCTGTTTTTTATCATTTGACTTGTTGTTTTATAAGACTCGGAAGTAAGCCAGTAGTGAACATTTATGCCTACAGGATATCTTGCATTATCATGCGTTACTGAACATTAAAGGGATGGAATCCATTTTGATTGATAAATCCTTCAGGCTGATCTGAGGGTACCCAGATTTCCACATATGCATTCAGTAATTCCCTGAATAGGTGGGAATCTAGCCTTCTTTTTAATTCACTCATGGGATGTGGGCATCGCTGGTTGGCCAGTACCTTATTGTCCATCCTTAGTTGCCCATTGCAAAATCCTTCTCTGTCTGACTGGCTTCTTTAATGTCAAATTCGACAGAAGTGACAGCCTTAGCAGATATGGCATCAGTTACCTGGGACAGGCAAATTATGAGATTCAACAGTTATCAGCAGCGGATCCCTTGTAGGAGCCAGAGACAGGGACATTCCAGGCAGTGGTGACCTTCATGACTGCTAGCAATGCATGACCACCTAGCACCTCTGAAAGGAAGTCTTGTTCCAGAGGCGGAGTTATTAACAACAACCAGTTACAGATGCCTGAGCTTCCAGCAGGACTTTTGCTCCATCATGTTGAAGAAGTGGATCCTCTGCCTATATGCCATATGTTGGGTGTTATCATACGCTTTAAGCTTTGTGCCATTCCTTCTACTGCTTGTGTTGGTGCTGGTGCTGGTGCTGGGGTTTGGTTATGGTGATGGCGCCAGTCTCAGTGCAGGAGATAATTTTGGTGTTGATGTTGGTGTTGGTGTTGATGGTGGTGATGGATTTGGCTGGGATGTTGGTGTTGGTGTTGGTGTTGGTGTTGGTTCTAGTGTTGGTGTTGTTGTTGGTGTTGGTGTTGGTTCTAGTGTTGGTGTTGGTGTTGGTGTTGGTATTGGTGTTGATGGTGGTGTTGGTGTTGGTTCTAGTGTTGGTGTTGGTGTTGGTGTTGGTGTTGGTGTTGGTGTTGGTGTTG